ATTCAATCAATTCAACCCATAAAACTTTGATTTATTTAGTTTTTAAAGTATAAATCTCCTACAATCTGGAAATAGTAACAGCAATTAATAATAAACGCTTTGTTCTTGAACTGTTATGACGTCATTGGAGCAGCCCTTCAATTGGGTACTTGAACTAAATCGTGACACCCACACATGTGAGCTATGACGTCAGTGACAGCTCATCTTCTATAAGCTAAGGCTCCTATACTATCAGAGCTGACCTATCAAGCAATATTGGAGCAAACAAGTTAGCAAGTTAACGTTATGTTAGTATTGTGCTTATGTTAGCTCTTTGGAGCAAAAATAGATGATGAGTCGGCCTGTCTAATACAGGGGCTCTACTACAAGCAAACTGGTGTGTTAAAGTTGAGCTAAGTTTTTCCACGTGAGCTAGAATGTTAATTAACGTGAGGTTAATTAAATACAACTCCGTATCGCACATAGAATTAGTTGAAATATAATTATTTCTTATCTACGTCTTTTATTTAACTTAGAGTTATTATTTGATTTTGTATTTTATTCTTCCCATAATAGAGTTTTTGCTTGTTTACCCGGTAACTTCGATGCATAATTAGTTTGTTTATGTTTTACACGGCTTCGTGCCTGTCTTTGTGTTAAGTAAGAAATATGTAGTGAAAGAATTGAAATCTTTGCGAAGGAATCTTTGTGAAAGAATATAAAATGTGTCACCTAAGCGAATTGATACTAGACGGGTTTGGCTTACTCGAAGTAGAATGGAAAGAACAGTTTCTAGAGAAAACAAAAGCCACGTTTCAACACCCCATTCTCTTTGCTGCCCTGGGTGTCTAGAAACATTAACTAAGTCCTCGTGTGTTGATCATTGAGCTGATCTAGCCTAATGAATAAAAATTAAAGTATTGAAGAGCGTACAATAAACTTATTTTTTCAATTGGAAGAATTGCATGTTAACAAACGATATATTTGAAATAATGAAACAGAATCACCTAAAGTCTTATTCAAAATATTGTAGAAAATCAACAGAATATTTTACTGTACAAGCAATGATGGGACAGTGTCTATTAATTGTAGTTTGTGTGAACCATAAGACAATCAACGAGGACAATAGGAGGGTTAAAAAATGTGGAATAAATCTCACAGTTTCGGTGTATACCAAAATAGAGCTAAGAGTTAGAAATTGTCACTGATGCTATTTTTAAAATATGTGAAAAACTGAATGGCTTATCGTAAAATTTAAAACAATGACTAACGTTTAATCAATCAGAAAATTCCATTTCATTTTTTGCTCATCCCTATTTAATTAATAAATTAATATTGAAAAAAAAATTAGAGTCAATTAATACTTTTATCTCTTTAGAGTCAATAAAAATTTTATTTTAGTTACTTTTTATTAAATATTTACAAATTTTTCTCCCATATAAAATTAAAATTAATTAATTAAATTTAATTAACGAATTAATATTTGAAAAAACATCAATTGCCATCCACTGTAAGTTTAAAAAAAATGTATTTGAAGTTGAGTGTATGAATAAAAAGTATTTTATTAACGATTGAAAATTTGAACGAGATAAAATTTGAACAAGAGTGTGAACAAACTTTGAACAAGAGTGTGAAATCTATGATTAAACCTAACTAACCCCCCCTTTTTTTGTCCCTTGCTTCCTATTCGTTGTCATCCATTCACCCTTCCCCCCTATTGGCCGTTGCTCTAAACCCTCTTGTGACGTCGTCTTTCTATATATATTTACCCTGTTCTCTTATTTCTTTCTGTCATTCGAACATTGGATCTCCCAGAGTAAGGTTGTGTTGTAACCAAGCTCCGGCAACGATGACTTCAATTAGATTCGGCCGCGGTGGGAAGGTGTTCCGACCCAACCGCGTACCTGCCATTCACGTTGACTTAGATGCGATTCGGAAAGAATCGAAAGACCATTTTACTGCCAGATTGCCAAAGATTTTGCTTAACTTCGATAAGGAGTTCGCTAACGCAGAAATGCATGCACGCAACATTGATGATGAAATAGAGAGTGCACGAAGCAGAAAATCGACCAACAAAAATTATCTCGAGAACTGCTATAGAGTGAAATTCCACTACGAGGAAATGCTAAGTCTAAAAGCATCCAGAGACAATAAGCCTACTGAGCCTATGTTAACATCCAATTCAGTTAACTGCCCTGAAACACCAGAAAACCAGATGAAGGAGAAAGAGCCAGCAGCCGAGCCACTAGAACCCTCAGAGCCAATGGAACCTGAAATGACTACAGATCCCACAGCGAACATAGAGCCAACGCTGCCTGAGCCTTCACCCGACATCATTACTGATATTCCCACTGAGCCTGAGACAGAATCACCTGCCCAGGAGAGAGAACCAACGAAGGAGGAAAACACCGAACCTCCAAAAAAGAAGAGAAAGAGGAAAAAGAAAAATTCTCCAACTACTACTACAGATAGTACGGACATCCCCCCTACTGCCAACATCCCAGATCCTGTAGCCTCACCAGTGGAGGAGACCACAGAAAAGATACAACCAGAAATTCTACATAAGAACAGTAGAAATTTAAAATTCCTCATCAAAGGACTCCCATCTGAAACCAAGATTTCGGTCTTGGAAGAAAATCTCACAGCTATTGGTCATCGGCCAATCAGAGTGGAACAGTTCAAGAAGAGGCGTGACGAAGGGTACAAGCTCCTCCTCCTTTTCCTGATCATACTTCCAGACAGCCCTATGCATAGGGATTGCATCAACATCAAGGAGATTCTCCATACAACTGTGCAGATAGAGCGATTTCGAGGAGGTCGCTATGAAGTGCAATGTTTTCGTTGCCAAAAATTTGGCCACACACAAAAGAACTGTACCAATGATCCTGCATGCATGAAGTGTGCGGGAGCACACTTTTCGTTTGAATGCTCCAAACCCAGAAGTCTACCAGCCACCTGCATTAACTGCAATGGAGCGCACCCGGCCTGTTTTACAGGCTGCAGTGCTAGGCCTAGGAGAAAGCCCAAACAGAAGAACAGGCAGCCCAGGAGTGCTACTGATTCAGCCAACCGTTTCCTGCAGATCTTCCAAGAGCTGCAAGACCTACTTAAGAACGAGGAGCTAGTGCAGCTTCTCAGATCCCTACTACCCGAGAACAAGTCTTAGTGAGCATCACTACTCCACCATGCCGACTACGCAGCCCAGTCACCATCTTTTACATCTACTTCAGTCTTTAATTTTACCTAAAGACAGTACGACAGGCGCCCACGGGCACTATTTTAGTTGAAGGAGTGAAGTGTCCGCTTCGCGGACAGGGACTCCGAAGAAGAACTCAGTCTAAGTCTAAAGAGACAATTATTACTTGAAAAACTACCTGGTTTAGCAAATTAAAACTACTGAGAATATACATTAATATTTCATTTCTTTTAATAGATATTGTTATGTGATTTATAGCAAATATATCAGTAATATTACTTTTTAAATGATATTGGAAAAAAAAACTTTAACAATGGACCGAATCATTATGTTCATATTATAGTCTAATCTAACTAGAGCACTCTGAAACATATCAATAACAGTGAAGTAGAAATATATAGTAACTCCCTAACATACAAAAATTGCTATTTTAGTTTGAAAATTACATGACAATCAGCAACTGTTTAGATAATTGTTTTTTATTTGATAAGAATTTTGCATTTTATAGCATAAATAATAGCAATTACAAATAAAATTTTGATGATGAGTTAAATAACTCTTTTTCCAAAATTGATGTGATTGCTTTTGTTTGCTATATCTTATATGCTTGCTATATTTAGTCGTTAGTCCATCTTNTTTTTAATTTGATTTTTGTATTTTAATTTCTTTTTTACATTGAAAGTTTCTTCAAACATTTGTTTATTCCAATTCTCCCGTGTAATGTAAATATTTAATTGAAATGTTTTGTTCCTCAAGTTCAATGATTTTATTTCCAGTTGAACTTTACTCTCGCTAACCTTTTTGTTCATTGACTCAAACATTAAACATCTCTTTTTTAATTGTTTTCTTTGAATTTAATCCAACTCTTCTTTTTTTTTCTCTACATTGATCCGATTTTACTCTTATGTTTGTTTTCTCTACATTCAATCCAATTTTTTAATGTTTTCTCTACATTCAATCCAATTTTTTATTGTTTTCTCTACATTCAATCCAATTTTTTATTGTTTTCTCTACATTCAATTCAATTTTCTTTTACCCTTTGGCAAAATGGGTCTTGGTTTGAATTTGATGACTTTTCAACTACAATAATCAAGAATAATAGTAAACAGTGCGCATGCGTCGTCGTTGCATGCGTTGCTATGGCGACCTCTGTAGCTTAATAATTTTTTTAGGATTCTTTTTTCACTTCTAATTTTGTTATGCATTAAGTTGGTGAGTTTATTTTTGAGATATGGGACCAAAGGGATCCTATAAATACTTCTTGAGTTGTGAATAAAAGAGAACTTCATCATTTGAACGATCTTTCTGTGTTTATTGTTTCAATTAAGAATCAGAAATTCTAACCTACAGTTCAAACTGGATCGTTTTAATACTAATTCAGGTGATTATCACAAATAAAGAGGGTCCAAACTGATAGACACGGTCCCAAAAGTTAGGGTTAAGGCAAGAAAAAAACGATGCCAAGGTCTAAACTTACCGAGGCAGAAAAAGCTAAAGAACGTAGACGGGAAATACCTTAAGCGTTAAACACACAAACATAAAAACGAAAGGATTCCGTTCGCTAACGCAAGCATGAAGCCCGTCCCTCACAAAAGTACCAAAGTGGTTGAGAGAATTGAACCCTACCGAAGAGCGAATGGTGACTCTCCGAACCCCTTTCATGCAAATACGAGATTTGTGCGTTGATCACCAGTTAGGGATAAAGGATCCATTGTCAACGTACCCAATGTCTTGCACAAGAACGTAGACTGTCTACCACGCAATATAAATGATTCATTTACTATTCGTGTAAAATTGAAAAAAAGCCTACCTTTCAAATCCTATTTCATGTATGAACTTGTGAATCCGACACGGGTGCATGAGCTGCATTTAAATATGTCTGCGAAATTGTGTACCGAACAGGATTAACAGTTAAAGATGACCAGGATGTGAAAACACAGTAAAGTTGCTTCACCAAAAAAAAATTGGACCACAACCATTTTTCCAATTTGTAACCTGCGATTTCCGCAAGGCGATCACAATTTTTTTAATACTTTTGTTAAATTTGAACCACATCCAAACGTATTTTTTTTTAATTTTCATTTCCTTCAAATTCAATACAATTTTATTCAGTTTTTTTTTTGTTTCCTTTAAATTTAATCTAGTTTTCCTTTCACGTTTACTCAACATTCATTAAGATTTTTATTTTTTGTTTGCTTCCTCCACATCCAATCCAATTTTCCTTTTTTGTTCATTTTCTTTGCATTCAATCCAACTTCCCTCTTTCCCTTCTCTCAATCCTCCCCATCTTTTTTTATTATTTTCTCTATATTGATCCGATTTTCTTCTTATGTTTGTTTCCTCTACATTCAATCAAAATTTTCTTTGTTTCCTCTACATTTAATCTAGTTTTTTTTTCTTGTTTCCTTAATAATTCAATTAGATTCTCATTTTTTAATTTGTTCCTCTACATTCAATTCCCCTTTTTGTTTATTTTCTCTTTCTTTAGCTTCTATATATTATAATGTTGACAAGGGAACTGGTAACGTTTAATTTTGTAAAACGAACTTCATGTTTTATTTACACCTCGCACTTCGCGCAGTATAGCCGAATCCATTTTTGCCCTAATTGCGTATTAAAAATTTGATTGGTAGAAGTAATTTCTTTTCCCAAACTAACTTTGAAACAACTTATTCTCAATGTATTAAAAATTAAGAAAAAATAGATTACAACTACATATTATGCACTGCTATATGTTTTATTTATTATAACAATATTATTGTTGTTGATCGCCGTGGCTGAGAATCGCAGCGACGCCACGGTGACATAAGGTCTGGTTTCTTAGGACAAACGCCTTATCTGGGCGTCAGCGGGACGTCAACGTCCCGCTGACGCCAACAAAATACTGGTTTGTTAGCTCAAGGCCTGGTTTCTTAGAACTAGCGCCTTATCTGGGCGTCAGCGGAAAGTTGACGTTGAGCTGACGCCAAAAAAATACTTTTTTGTTAGCTCAGCGTGAGCAGTCGGTCCAACGCAGACATTATCTCTCATTGCGCATGCGTTAATAACGTAAACAAATATTTATTTTGAATTTGTATTGATTTTGTTATTGTCGACCAGTGCTTTAGAGAACAAATAATGACTTTGTCCAAGAAAAAACACATTATAGCTGAGCTAAATGAAGAGTGCTATGTTTAATGAAGAAGCTATGTTTAATGTCAAAATCAAATTCTTGGCTGATTCAATGTGCTGTTAAATGTTGTCCGCCATTGCTTCTGTGGTTAACGTCACGTTGTAATCCAACTGCAGTTGAGTTCGACGGCAATTGTAGTTCAAGATGAGCGTTCGATGACGTATACTATCAAACTCACAAGTGGACCAATTAGAGGTTAGCGCTGATTTCCAGCTGACGGCGTCCTGTCCTAAGAAACCAGGCCTATAATCGCAGTACGTTACAGAGTTCTTCCAGAAAGATTTTTCTTTTGAAAAGTAAAAGAAAAAAATACCTTTATTTACTTATTGACAGAAATTTATCTTTTATATTTGAATCATACATTTAGATAATCACTTTTTGACGCGCTCAATATACGCCGATAAGTAAATTGATATTTTGTTTCAATTGTATTTTCGTCAGTTGTTGATATTGTCACTTGGATTTTAAATATCCGATAAACAACATGGAAAATTCGAATCGAGTATTTACTTTTTAAGGCAATAATTCTGTCGAATTTTATCAGTATTTCTCCATAGTTTTTAAATCCGATATTTTTTATACGATGTTATTTATATACAACAGCCTAATCAAGAAACAAAACACTCATTTAAGGTGTCCGATTCGCGTGATTTTGTCGTCGATCTTTTTTTTCGCCAAGTACTACAACGGTTTTAATGATTTTTAATTTTTTTTTTTATTTATGATTGGTTACAAAAAGCGAAGGAAAAAATTTCTGCGTCCCCCCCCTCCTAACAAAACATGAAAATGTTACCTATAATATTAGAATAAAAATTAAATATTCAATTAAAAAAAATTATAAATATTTTTTTTTGTAAACACAGCACTTTTGTTATTTTAAATTAGTAACATACATGTTTATTATTATTAAAAGTATCTTACAGAAAGATATTAATGTTAGAGAATTTTGTCGCAGATAGCTCTAAAACATTCTGCCAAAGGGTATGTTGATATTTATCAAGATTTTTATTCATTTTATTTCATAACCGCCATTGAACAGCTGACCCAATTTTGGGTTTACGACTACTAATGTTCAACTTCGTAGCCTTGCAATTTTAACCCCAATCCAGAAGAAAAGGGAACTCTTGGATCAAGTAAGTATTGGGAGAAATTTGCTTTTGTGGAGACCTTTTTGATGGAACTAACACGCATTTGCATTATATGGTGAGGAAAACCACGAAAACCTCCCACAGTTTGTTTGACGACAAGAGGACTCTAACCCATAATCCATCTACCACTGAGGGTATTTCAAGTCAGCACTGTGGGCTATGCTAGCCAGATGCGGAATTCGTATCGACCAGCCATTGTCGATACGGACCACATATATTACGTCATATTTTGCGTCAGCACTGTGGTTGATGCTTGCCGGGTGTGGAATTTGTATCGACCAGTCATCGCTGGGATTCGAACTCGGTTCAACTCATTAGTAGACGAATGCTCTATCCCCTAAATCACCACGGCTCGTTTTCTATTTATTGTAAGGCATGCTAAATAAGACACACAGTGAGAATACTTTTGCAAATATTGTTCGCGATAAAAAAATATCGATAATAAAAATATCGATAAAATTCTCTTTATTATCGTATTTGATAATATATCATTATTCACGATATTATTGTATTCAATATTTCTCGTTGTCAATAACGATAACATTATCGTTGTCGATAATTATCATATTTGATGTGCGCTTTATAGCATAAAAGTTATGTTATATCGTAAGACTACTACGAATTATCTGAAATTTTATTTTAGTTTAATTGGTTATGTTTTTTTACTTATTGTCTTTAAAATAAAATAAGATGAAAATTACTACTTATTACCTGAAATGCCGGACTTCCAGCCACTGTCTGGTTTCTTATGAGACGTTCGCTGTTAGAATCGTATATTTCTAAATGAAAAAGTTGGGGTAAGCCACCATCATAACCGGACTTGCATTCGATAGTCATGAAAAAAGATGTTTGGTTTTTTATATCGCAGTCCTGGGGTACTTCTGGATTAGCTAGGGGAAAGAGATAAAAAATTTAACAAAAAAAACTGTTTACAAAATGTAAACATTAACAGTGTCAATGAAGGCTGAATCCGTAATCGCATAAAATAACTTTTTCTAGTAAATGACTTTTTAATAAACAGTTGTAACAGCTATTTATGACTGTTAAGTTCAGTTTTGCTTATCTTTAGTTAAGTATGGAAAATGTGATAAAATAATTCTTAATTTTTGAAAATTTATAATTTTTCTTAATTTTTTTTATTGACTTTGCAATTTTTAAAAAAAGTTTAACTATTTTTAGATTATTTATTTTCCTGCTAGATGCGTAATAAACTGAAACTCTTTTTCAAAAAATTCGTAAATTAAAAGAACATGTGTAAGAAAAATTTAATTTTAAAAATTTTTATTTTTATTTTTAAAATAACTGGAATGTATTATTTTTTAAAAGCTGAACAAATGGTTAATATATACTTGCGAAATCGCTTTAGTGTGCGAAGGTGAAATCTTGTAATCGAAATTACTAAGTGGCAATTGCTGATTGCGGAGCGACAATGTGGTATGTCATTGCGCACGGGCAGTTTTTACTTATCAGTCCAACTGGTACCCATCGGTCTGAAGCAGGGTTGGCAACCATGCAACTTTTAGGATCAAGCCCCAGTTTCTCACAACTGTTGAGTGTCTTACCCATTGACCAATCACAGCTCATTTACTTGAATAAAGTATAAATGCGTTAATTTTGTAATATATTGGAAGAGTTTTCATTTCCAATGACCTCCTGTGTTAACGTTTTGTCAAGTCAGGCATTTAAAGGCAGATTAGAAACCCAGAATATTTTTGATGCAAGGCCTGTTTCCTGACCCCTGCACAGTCCGGCCGGCATATAGGTGGAGTAGTTGGACTAGTAGCGACAGTCTGGGAAACATCCCTGAAGATGATTATCACAATTTTGATCCTCCTCGGAGGGAAAAAATAGACATATTGGGAAAATGTCAGTTATAGTTTGTCTGAAGTAAGAACTCCCCTAGCAATTCGTCTGGACCCGTGGCTGTGACTATGGTAACGTGGTATGACCATTTTAAGTAGGGGTGTGGGGTCATTGTTTAAGACAGGTTTTTGCAATTTTTGGCCCATTTTGATAAAAAAGAAAGAAAGAAAAAGCAAGACAATACTTTCTTCCTTTTAGTCAACTTGAAAAAAATAGTTTTTGAAATTTTTATTGCATCTCTGATTTCAGGGTTTTTAGTATTAAAGTACAAAATTACCAAGTTTCAGTCTTTCCAAAGTTGATTTTAATTTTCTGACTTTTTTTTTATGATTGAAGTATTGGAAAAAAAAACTTTTAGAAAATTTTTTTCTGTTTTTTTACTCTGATATATGCAAATTTGAAATATGTAATAAAAAATACACAATTTTTGAAAAAAATTTAATTTAAAAAAAAGAAAGAAAGCGCAAGACAATACTTTCTTCCTTTTAGTCAACTTGAAAAAAATAGTTTTTGAAATTTTTATTGCATCTCTGATTTCAAGGTTTTTAATATTAAAGTACAAAATATCATTGATTCAAAAAGCCATTTGGTTCAATTAACACCATATTGACCAAGAAAGTCTTTTTAACTGCTTTTTAATTTCAATTAGAAAAACAATGATGTATATAATGACACAATTTCTTAGAATTTTGTGACTTTTTGTACAACATATAATCATTTTTATTGTTAATATTTACTAATAACTTGCTTTATATAACTGTAAATAATATAAAAAATATTAGAAATTAATTTTAAACAAACTTCTTTAGTCATTAGTTATTCTCACACAATCCAGTCATTTTTGGGCGGTATATACTAAGTTTTAGTCTTCCTATTGTCAATTCAATTATATCAGAAGCAAATCGATTTTACGTGTTTCTCATTCTGAATTCAATATTTTCTAATAAAAGAAATTTCAATTTAATATTATTATTTTAAAAAAACAGAGACTGAAATATGCTACTGATAGAAAACTCGTTTAAACTACTACTTGCCTTTTAAGTAAGAAAAGAAACTAATTACTCTCCCAAACAATTAGCATTTAAATGAGAGCAGGAGAAAGAGGTTAATTAACTAGAAATTTCCGAATCAGTCAACCCCTTATTCATTCTACTCAGCTGAATAGAGGTGAGGGCCATTTGCCACATGCCTTAGAACTCTTTAATGGCCCCCCAAACATTGTAATAAGGCAACTTTAAATGGAAATAAAATGCTGTTCTTCGTAAGTGTTTATGGCATTGCATAGAACAGAAACGACTTTGCTAAGAGTGTTAACTTAATTAATGTTGGCGGAGACTATTTTTATTCTTTTTCTTTTTTTTATTCCGGAAATTACGAAATCTTCAAGATTATTGCCCTTGTTTTCGTTCAGTTTGAAAGAAATTATACACAGTCCTTTAACAAATTATTAGACGTACTATAAGATTCTATGTAAAATCTTATCTATCAGGTCACACAATACAGCCTTATCGTTTTTACGACACTGAAACCGGTTTGCACTCGTTTACATTCGTGTATTAATTGGTGAAATTGGACGATATATAATATTCGACGATTGGATAAATTAGATAAATACAAGATATATTTATTATATCAGGTATTATATTAGTATATTATTACAATAAGACCAAATAATTCGACGTACTGTAGTGTTTTAATAATGACATGTTTTGCTCGAGTTCATAGGCAATACTTTTATATTTAAACATACATGCAATGGGTTTATATTCAGGAGATTTTTTATATACTTCCTATTTGTATTTATTTTTAACGAATTGCATTACAATGTTAAATAATTGATATACGAACATAAGCAAGTACAAACTGGTTTCAAACGGGTAAAAACAGTGAAGGTGTAGAATATCGCCTGATAATTAAGATTTTACATAGAATCTTATAGTGCGTCTAATAACTTGGCCAGGACAGTACATTATATAATATTGATCTAATCACTTTATGCAAGAAATTAAGATTAATATAAGTACAGTTCTTAAAGGGGGAAAAAACCGGATTATCCTGAATAATAGTGCGTGTTGCACTGTCACTACAACAAACAAAATAGTTTTTTTCTTCTTTTTTTACCATTTTACAACTTTTGTGCAACGACTTTTACATTTCACACCTAGGCAAGATTAGGAAACTTTTAGTTCAAGCAAAGTTTTAGTGTTAAGTTTTTAAGCTATATTTTTAATGAATAATAATGAAGGCAGTGAGAATAAAATGAGGGATAAATTGGTAGAATTGAGGGGTGGGGTAACCGTAAGAAATCTGACTAAAGAGAATAATTAGAAAAAATAAAAAGCATATTTGCGCTAACTACGGCTATATTAAGTTAAACTAATAAAATTAAAGGATACATTAAGGCAATTTACTTATAACTGTTACCAGCAGAGTATGCAAGCAGTATGAATGCCTAGGCATTGTATATAATGCCGGATGTTTTTAGGCAAGGTATGAAATATGAGAAGCATTAGATACTTTACCTTAGCATTGTATATAATACCTATGCATTCTATAGAATGGCAAATGCTATTTAGGCAAAGTATGAAAACAAACTGCCTGATGAGGTTATTATGTAAATAACGTGCCTTTCTCAAAAATAAAAAAGTTATTCTGAAAAAATAATGAGAGTGCTTTTAAAAAATTTATTCAAAATTCGTAACGAAAAATGAAAGTTTTACAAAACATAATTTATCCCTTTCTTATTAAGGGAACAGAATTTTCATAGAAAAAATATTCATTACATTTTTCATGTAAAGACATTTCATATTTTGGCACTTTGTTTTATACATACATTTGACGAATCCTTGGTGAATTAGAGATGTACTAGGAGGCTTCGCCCCTTGCTCACTGGCGCTCGCCAACCCCCGGAACTGCTTTCGCAGATAATTTTGATAAAGATAATTTTGTGAGAATGTTTTTGATAATTCGGTGAGAATTCACCCGATTAGACATATGATACTCACTACGTGCTCTTGCGCGCCGAAGCCTATCAATTAAAAATGAAAACTGTTGCCAACGCGAGAAAAGAAATATCATCGGTTTTATTGATACATACGTATTAGCGTTTTATATAATATAGATAGATTTTATACATTGCCGGTATCTCATTTGGCATTCTATAGAATGACTAGGAAATGTGTGAAATATAAATCGTTTCATACAATGCCGACTGGTTTTAGGCATTATATACAATGTCTAGGCATTCTGTATTTTTTTATTGCAATCTAATAAATTGTAATGAAGACCAACCTGCAGGTACAATCATAAACAGACAGGGAGATTTTTGTGTTCCAATTCTGTTCGCACCCCAGCACTTAACCATTCCGAAGCCATTTTCAGCTGAGTAAAGAAGCGTCGATCCATTCATCCAGTCTATAGGGACATCAGAAGTATTATTCAGTGACCATCGATATTCAGTGGTGGCCGGATCAGACAATAAGTCACAGCTCAAATGAACTGTTTCTGATGGAGAGACGCCGTACATTTTCATTTCTGAATGCTTGCAAATTGGAGCATCTGAATAAAAAGAAGAATACAGAATATTATTCAGCATGAATTGGAAAAAAAAGAAGCTTTCACTGAATACGGATGATATTAATTTACAGTACTCGGTGCTTTAAGTGATTATACGAACCCAATTTTTCCAACTTGTAGGATGAGCTTTAGATTCTCATTTATGCAGGTCACCAACTACAGATAACACACATGGGGGTATCAATTTCACCATATATATACATATGTATATATATACACATGTATATATATATATATACGTATGTAAATACACAAGTAAATACACATATGTAAATACACAAGTGGGTGACCTTTGTCTAAAAATACAAAACTAAGGCAAGCAACATTAAAGAGCACAAAAATATTTATAAAATACATGTATTTTATAAATATTTTTGTGCTCTTTAACATTGTTTGCCTTAGTTTTATACACATATGTAGCTCATATTAAGCGAAAAATACTTAAAAAATATATTTAAATTAGTTTTTCTTTGTCCAAAACATAATATGCAGTTACGGAATATGAGAAAAAACGGGCAATTCAAGTATTTTTTTAAATTTTTCGAATTGCACGAATTTTTTTTAAAACTAGCTTCAAGTTAAAATAGGGTCGTCGAACTTTGTGTAAAAGCCAATATTTAGCGAAAAATGCAGAAATTTTTTTTTAAAATTAGTTTTACTTTAATTAGTTGCCAAAGCAATTATTCCAGTGTTTATATATAAAAAAGCACGGAAAATTTGTTTTTTTTTTTAAATGGTTACATGTTAATATAAGTGCGTCAAATTGTGTGAAAAGTATTCTAAGAATATATTTAAAACAGCTTTATTTTGTTCCAAACACACAATTTTCAACGCAAATATGGAATAAAAATAAAGAATTTTTTAAAATGTGTTGAACATGGCGAATCTTTTAAAACTAGTTTCAAGTTGAAATATAAGCGTCATATTGTTTTTAAACATCAGTATTTATCGAAAAATATTTAAATAGTAATTTTTAAAATAGTTTTACTTTGTCCATTTCCAGTATGTATATGAAAGAAACAATAAAGCATGGAGAATTTGCGAATTTTTTAAAATTTTTTGAATAGCATGAATCTTTTAAAACTAGTTTCATGTTGAAATGTTTTGAAAAAGCTTATATGAAACAAAAATATTTAAAAAATACATATAAATTAGTTTTTCTTTGTCCAGAACACTGTATTTCCAGCATGCATGTTAAAGAAATAATAAAGCATAGGCAATTTGCGAACTTTTTAAAATTTTTAAAACTGTTCGATTCTTTAAAAACTTGTTTCTTGTTAAAATTATGCGCGTCAAATTTTTTTGCAAAAGCACAAATTAAACGAAAAATACTTACGAAATATATTTAAATTAGTTTTTCTTTGTCCAAAACACGGTATTTCCATTGTACATTTTAAAAATATAATAAATCATAGAAATTTTGCGATGCACTTTTTTTTTTTTTTTTTTTTTTTTNTTTTTTTTTTTTTTTTTTGGAACAGAGAGAATCTTTTAAAGCTGGTTACATCTTACATTATGCGCGTCATATTGCATGAAATTGCCCGCACATAATGAGAAATATTCTAAAAATATCTTTAAAATAGATTTATTTAGTTCTAAAAACACACAATTGTCAGCGAATATCCTTAATATAAAAAGAATGGACATTTAGAGAATTTTTAAAAGTTTTTGGAATTGCGCAAATCCTTTAAAAAGTGGTTTTATGTCAAAAAGCGAGTCGGAGTTTTTGAAAAGGCCCATATTTATCGAAAAATATCTAAAAAGTATTTTTAAAATTGTTTTACTTTATCCAAAGCGAAATATTACCACAGTCATATTCAAAAATTAGAAAGCACGGAAAATTAGCGTATTTCTTCAAATATTTTGAACAATGCGATTCCTGAAAAAGTGATTACTTGATAGAATTTAAGAGTCATATTGTCTGTAAATGCCCGTACATAATTAGAATTATTCTAAGAATATATTTAAAATAGTTTTACTTTGTCTAAAACATATAATTTTCAGCGCAGATGACAAATACGAAAAGACCAGACACTGAGAATTTTTTAACACTTTTTGAATTTAAAGAATCTTTTAAATCAAATATCATGTTAAAATATACACATAATTTTTTTCTTCCATTAAACCACATATTTAAAAAGAAAATTCTTAATACATTTTTAAATTAATTTCACTATATTTCCTGCATGCATTTTCAAAAAATTATTTAAAACGGACAATTTAAATAATTTTAAAAAGTGGGATTTTTTGAAAAATTGGTTACATGTTAAAATATGCACGTCATATTGTCTGAAAAGTCCCATACATAGTTCGAAATATTCTAAGAATATATTTAAAATAGTTTTATCTCGTCCTAAAACACGCAATTATCAGCGCAGATGAAGAATGTAAAAAGAACGGACACTTGAAGAATTTTTAAAAAACTTTGGAATAGCATGAATCTTCTAAAACTAGTTTCATGTTAAAAAATGCGAGTCAAATATTTTGAAAAAGTTCATATTAAACAAGAAATACTTAAAAAATACATTTAAATTAGTTTTTATTTGTGCAAAACAAGATATTCTCAGCTTGCATATCAAAGAAATGATAAACACGAACAATTTACGAATTTTTAAAAATGTTTTGAAAAACAAGCAGGATTCTTTAAAACTGATTTCTTGTTAAATTATGAGCGTCATATTTTTTGAAAATGCTCATATTAAACGAAAAGTTCTTAAATATATTTAAATTTGCTTTTGTTTGTTCAAAGCATGATATTTCCAGCATGCATATTAAAGAAATAATAAAGCATGGACAATTTGAGAATTGCTCTAAAGTTTTTGAACCGGGCGATTCTTGAAAAACTTTTCAAATGTTAAAATATGCGTGTCATATTGTGCGAAAATGCCTATACATAGTTAGGAATATTCGAAGAATGTACAAAAAATAGTATTATTTTGTCCCAAACAGGCTATTTTCTACGCATAAACGGAATATAAAAAAACGAATATTTTAAGAATTTTTAAATTTTTTTTAAATGCACGAATCTTTTGAAACTGGTTTAATATCAAAATATTTTCCTCAAATTTTCTTAAAAAGCCAATTTTTATCGAAAAATATATAATATGTATCTTGAAAATGGTTTTACTTGATCAAAGTAGCGATTTGCGAATTATTTTAAATTATTTCGATTTTTGTAAATCTGGTTACACAATAAAATATGAGCGTCATATTGCATAAAAATGCACATATAAATGCAGAAATATTTGAAGAATATATACGAAACAGTTTTATATTGTCCCAAACCCGCAATTCTCGGCGCTGATACGAAATAGAAACAACGGAAAATTTGAGAATTCTTAAAAAAAAAATTTTAATATTGAGAATATTTTAAAATTAATATCAAAATGAAATATATTTATGAAAAGTTCAATATTCATGAAAAAGTCAATATTCATGAAAAGATATGTAACTAGTATTTCTAAAATAGTTTTATTTTATCCAAAAACGATATTTCTCTAGTGTAAAGAAATAATTAAGCACGGACAATTTAAGAATTTTTCAAACAGCGTGCTTCTTAAAAAATGGTTTTATGTTAAAATATAAGCTCCAATTTCTTTTTTTAAAAGAAACCCATAATCAGCAAAAAGTACTTAAAAAATATTTTTAAAATTATCAGAGCGGATGAGTAATGGTAAAAGAACAGACACCGAGACTATTTTAAAACTTTTTTAATGTTAATAATCTTTTAAATCTAATATCACGTTTTGTTATAATATGCGCGTTAAATTTTTGAAAAAGTCCATGTTAATCGAAAAACAATTAAAAAATATATTTAAATTAGTTTTTCTTTGCAATCACCACGATATTTCCAGCATGCATTTTAAAGAAATAATAAAGCATGGACAATCTGCGATTTTTTTAAAATTTTTTGAACAGCGAGATTCTTTAAAAATTGGTTTCTTTATAAAACATGGGAGCCAAAGTTTTTTTAAAAAACTCGCATTAAACGAAAAATACTTTACAAAATATATTTAAATTAGTTTTTCTCAGTCCGAAGCACAATATTTCCAGTATGCATATTAAAGAAATAATAAAGCATGGACAATCTGCGATTTATTTTAAATTTTTTGAACTGCGAGATTCCTTTAAAATTGGTTTCTTGTTAAAATATACGCGTCAAATGTTTTGAAAACGCTCATATTCAATGAAAAATACTTTACAAAATATATTAAATTTAGTTTTCTTTGTAAACACCATGATATTTCCTACATGCATATTAAAGAAATAATAAAGCATGGATAATCTGCGATTTTTTTTAAATCTTTTGAACAGCGAGATTCTTTAAAAATTGGTTTCGTTATAAAATATGGGCGCCAATGTTTTTTAGAAAGCTCATATTAAACGAAAAATACTTTTCCAAATATATTTAAATTAGTTTTTCTCTGTCCGAAGCACAATATTTCCAGCATGCATATTAAAGAAATAATAAAGCATGGACAATCTGCGATTTCTTTTAAATTTTTTGAACAGCGAGATTCTTTAAAAATTGGTTTCCTTATAAAATATGGGCGCCAATGTTTTTGAAATAGCTCATATTAAACGAAAAATACTTTACAAAATATATTTAAATTAGTTTTTCTCTGTCCAAAGCACAATATTTCCAGCATGCATATTAAAGAAATAATAAAGCATGGACAATTTGTGAATTTTTTTAAATATTTTGAACAGCCCGATTCTTTAAAAACTGGTTTCTTGATGAAAAAAGCCCTTCAAAGCTTTTGAAAAAACTCATATTAAACGAAAAAAACTTTAAAAATTATTTTTTTATTAGTTTTTCTTTGTCCAAACCACGAAACATGTATATTAAAGAAATAATAAACCATTTGCAATCTGTGAATTTTTTAAAATTTTTTGAACATCCCGATCGCTTAAAAACTGGTTATGTATTAAAATACGTGAGTTAATATTGAATAAAAATGCCTATACATATAATTATAAATATTTTAAAAGTATATTTAAATTATTATTTTTTTGTTGTCAAACACCGAATTAACTGTGCAGATATGGAATATTAAAAGAACGGACATTTTGAATATTGTGAATCTTTTAAAACTAATTTCATATTAAAATATGTGCGTCAAATTATATGTATATATATATATATCTATATATATATATACATTGGTTATGCTTAAAAAGCATTGACATTGTAAATTCATAGTGGTGTGGCAGTTGCATATTGAAAAAGATACAGAAACATGGAGAAATAATAGAATTTTATTAAAGTAAGCGACGAAGCTCCCAAAAATGAGAACATTACATGCTGGTGGATAGATAGAGAATAGGACGATTGACTTTGGAAAGAGGGTTTTAATATCTTTCTGGACAATATATTTAAATATCAATTAGGTCTTAGTAAGGTGGGACTGATCAATTTCCTAAACTAATAAAGACCCATCATCGCATTTTCTGAGATGATTTGATGAATATTATTACTTTCTTTGTGGGAAAGGCTTTAAATGATTGCTCATTAGGTATAAGCTCTATTTATGGGTTATATTGAATCTAAGATTCTTTTAACGTTGATATATATACACAGGGATTTGACACAATGGAAACACTTCTATGACAATTCCATTTTTTAAATTTCTCGAGAAATAATTAAAGAATTACAACTGTTAAATTCAAAACTCTTTAGATCATGCAATTTCTCATACTTATAGATGAAGATTAAAGCCTTGAGAGTTTTAGGGATCTCCAATAAATAACAAACTGAAAATATTGCTTTTGAACATCATATGCCAGAAATTGTAACAATAAATTGTAACCACCAATTGTAACAATAAATTTATTTGTAACTTGTAGCATCTACTTTTCTTATCAAATGAAATGATTGCCCAAAATTTCGTTATCCTATGTAAAATATTGATGGAGATGTCGACATTTTTTTATAAAAAAAATTAATTGTTTTGTCTTAACTTTTCTTGCTATAGTTGTAAAATATACTCAATAAAATTAGACAAGATTTTCGGAACAATTTAAAATTAATTCCAAAATTATTGCTTTAAAATTTGAGGTGGGTAGGTAGGTACTTTATTTACGTCACACTAGAGCTGCACAATGAGCTATTGGCGACGGTCTAGGAAACATCCCTGAGGATGATCCGAAGACATACCGTCACAATTTTGATCCTCTGCAGAGGGGATAGCACCCCTGCTTCGGTAGCCCGACGACATGCGCGTGAAGTCGAGCACTTTACGGTAGAAGTTTAACGAGGACCAATACCGCAGACCCTCGGTCCCTACGCAGACTAATCCAAGTGGTCACCCAGCCGCACACTGACCGCAGTCAGTGATGCTTGACTTCGGTGATCTGCTGGGAACCGTGTCTTAACGATCAGTCCACTGCGGAACTTTAAAATTTGAGAAAAATTCGTTTAAATTTGAGTTAGATATTAGTATAATTTTATAACTTACTCAGCCTTACTTACATTGGACTCGAATATGCAGTGGATTGCTGGATCCTTCTCCTACGTCATTGTGGGCATGGCATGTGTAGTTGCCGGAATGAGCTCGCCTCACCTTTTGCAGCAGAAGCGTTCTGTTAAGAATAACGAAACCAATACTTCTGTAGAATGTTAGGGAACGATTCTCAAATCTCCAAGTCATGTTGAGGATGGGGGGATTCGATTCCACTCTACACTCCAGGTAGACATTCGAACCTTCCCTGATGCTCAACACGTGGCCAAGAGTCAGGTTGAGACGTGGCAAAACTAGATCGAAATCGAAACAATAAGAAATCAAAACACCATGACCAAACACAAAGGATATAATAAACTAACATGTACGGTGAGAAAAATATAAACTGACGACTCCGAATAACTTTTGATCTAATGATCGGATCTTCACCTTCAATCTTAAAGGTGACCTGAAATATGATAATTAATTAATACAGACGATAATTCAAGTTACGAAATCAGACACTAACACTCAATAAACATACCATTTTTTAGTCGGATTCCGAATTCTCACCCCCAAAATATAGGGGTAGCCGCTATCTGGGAAATATGGTACTGCAGCGGCTGCTGCTTTTAAGCCAATTTCATGCTGAATGCCGAAATGTGNCCAAAGTTTGAATTAACCCTTTAATGTCATATTTACTTTTTGTGTTTTTCGCCACATATCGAAAAAATTTTAAGCGAATTAAAAAAAATTTTTAAGCGAATTAAAAAAAAATTTGCATACAATTATGAAATTCACCTAACCAAAGATAATTCTATACAAAAACAACTTTTAGTGAGTATTTAATACTTTTTATTAGTTTATATTATAATAGTCGAAAAATTTTGAGCCGTAATGCATAAAAATATGTTTTTTCATGGCAAAATACAAAATCTGAGAAAAATTACCTGAATAGTTCTTGAGAAATTTAATTCCAAAAATACGACTTTTTCAAAATTCGATTTTTCAGAAACTATTCGAATCATTTCGATCAAATTTTGTATTTTTTCATTTGAAATTGCACTCTTTAAAATGATTTGAAAAATTGTATACCTTAAAAAATTGTTTCGCGATTATTAAATTAAATTTTAAAATAACTAACAATTTATTATTGCCATTTGCGGGTAGTTTTGGGGATTTTTAGCACTCAAATTATGCGATTTGATTTTTCAATCTATTAATATCTCGTTTATAAATTGTCTATTAACATTTAAAGTGGTTTTACGTTTGTTCCCACCAAGGGAAATAAAATCCAAAAATATTTTGTCCCTTATTGTGTTTAAATTCAAAATATGAAGCTTAAACTTGTTCGGTTGATCTGGTTGCTAATGGCAACAATCCATTTCTTCTTGTCACAAGATATTAACGCAATCCAGCCTTTCAAAACTTTTACTTTCTCGTTAATTGCAAACTTGCGTTCCGTGATTTTAAAATATAATTATATTAATAGGATTTTTGTTATTATTGCTATACAATAAAATGTTATGAAAAATATTTTTTTTTTTCTGTTCCACATCAAATATTCCAAAAGTTTTTACAAATATCATTTCGTTTTTAAATCTCCTTGTTTACGTTACGTAAATGCTTGTTTAAAGACTTTAAAAATTTGCTTTATAGTTTTGAATACGAAGAAGATATTGTTGTGTACAGCTTATGTTGAGTATTTAAGGACTAAGTGTTCTTTTTTTTTCTTTTTTTTCATATCCGTCTTTGACAGCTGAGCCAATTTTTGGGTTTACGACTACTAATGTTCAACTCCTGTAGCCTTGTAATTTTAAACCCAATCCAGAAGACTAGGGCACTCCTCTATCAAGTATTGGGAGAAATTTGCGTTTATGGTGGATTTTTTGATGGAACTAACCTGCATTTGCGTTATATATAGAGAGAAACCACAAAAACCTCCCACGGTTAACCTGGCGACAAGGGGACTCTAACCCATGGTCCGTCTACCACTGAGGAAATTTCACGTAAGCACTTCGGATTCGAACCGGAACGCTCTATCCCCTGAGCCATTGCAGCTCCAATTTCGAATTCGATCGAAAGCTAATAATCTAATTAAGTGCTCTATTTTACAAATTCTTTCTCACTTTTTTTTATTTTCATTATATCATGTTACGCTGGGCAAAAACCTACAAAATTTTGAAACTTGATCCAGAAGACAAGGGAATTCCTGAATTAAGCATTGGGAGAAATTTGCCTTCGTGGAGGACTTTTTGATGGAGCTAACCAGCATTTGCGTAGAGAGGGGAAACTGCAAAAACCTAACACGGTTAACCTGACGGCAAGGAGACTCTGACCCATGATCCGTCTACCACTGAGGATATTTTACGTCAGTACTGTNAATACTTCTTGAGAAATTGAATTCTAAAAATACGACTTTTTCAAAATTCGATTTTTCAGAAACTATTCGACCCATTTCGATCAAATTTTGTATTTTTTTCATTTGAAATTGCACTCTTTGAAATGATTTGAAAAATTGTATACCTTACGATTTAAAATTGTTTCGCTATTATTAAATTAAATTTTAAAAAAACTAACAATTTATTATTGCCATTTGCGGGTAGTTTGGGGGATTTTTAGCACTCAAATTATGCGATTTGATTTTTCAATCAATTAATATCTCGTTTATAATTTGTCTATTAACATTTAAAGTGGTTTTACGTCTGTTCCCACCAAGGGAAATAAAATCGAAAAATATTTTGTCCCTTATTGTGTTTAAATTCAAAATATGAAGCTTAAACTTGTTCGGTTGATCTGGTTGCTAATGGCAACAATCCATTTCTTCTTGTCACAAGATATTAACGCAATCCAGTGTTTCAAAACTTTAACTTTCTCGTTAATTGCAAACTTGCGTTCCATGATTTTAAAATATAATTATATTAATAGGATTTTTGTTATTGTTGCTATACAATAAAATGTTAGGAAAAATATTTTTTTCTGTTCCACATCAAATCTTCCAAAAGATTTTACAAATATCATTTCGTTTTTAAATCTGCTTGTTTACGTTACGAAAATGCTTGTTTAAAGACTTTAAAAATTTGCTTTATAGTTTTGAATACGAAGACATCCATTGTTGTGTACAGTTTATGTTGAGTATTTAAGGACTAAGTGTTCTTTATTTTAAAATTTTTTTCATATCCGTCGTTGAACAGCTGACCCAATTTTCGGGTTTACGACTACTAATGTTCAACTCCTGAAGCCTTGTAATTTTAAACCCAATCCAGAAGACTAGGGGACTCCTCTATCAAGTATTGGGAGAAATTTGCATTCATGGAGGATTTTTTGATGGAACTAACCTGCATTTGCGTTATATAGAGAGAGAAACCACAAAAACCTCCCACGGTTAACCTGGCGACAAGGGGACTCTAACCCATGGTCCGTCTACCACTGAGGAAACTTCACGTCAGCACTTCGGATTCGAACAGAAACGCTCTATCCCCTGAGCCATTGGGGTTCCAATTTCTTATTCGATCGAAAGCTAATACTCTAATTAAGTGCTCTACTTTACAATTTCTTTCTCACTTTTTTTTTCATTTTCATTACATCATATTACGCTGAGCAAAACCTATTGAATTTAGAAGCTTGATCCAGGAGACAAAGGAACTCCTGAATTAAGTATTGGGAGAAATTTGCCTTCGTGGAGGACTTTTTGATGGAGCTAACCTGCATTTGCGTAGAGAGGGGAAACCGCAAAAACCTAACACGGTTAACCTGACGGCAAGGAGACTCTGACCCATGATCCGTCTGCCACTGAGGATATTTTACGTCGATACTGTGGTCGGTGCAAGCCGGATGCGGAATTCGTATCGACCAGACATCGCTGGGATTCAAACCCGGTTCACCACATTAGAATAATAAAATACCTAATAAAATCCCGTTACATGTATGTTTAAGTATAAAAGTATTGCATATAAACTCATGCAAAACATGCAAGCATTAAGAAACTACAGTGCGTCAAATAATTTGGTCTTCTTCTTCTTCAGGAGCGCAACAGCCCTTTGCAGGCCTTGGCTGCCTCAACAGCACGCCTTCTCCAGCTCCCTCTGTCCATGGCAACTCCCCTCCAGTTCTTAAGTTTTAGGACTTTGAGGTCGTTTTCGCTGTCGTTGACCAATAATTTGGTCTAATTAATATAATACCTGACATAATAAATATTCTATATTTGTATAATATACAATCTAATTTGTCCAATAGTCGAATTTTTATTATATATCGTGTCGTTTAACCAATTAATACACAAACGTAAACGAGTGCAAACCGGTTTCAGTATCGTAAAAACAATAAAGCTGTGTAGTATCACCTGATAATTAAGATTTTGCATAGAATCTTATAGAGCGTCTAATAATTTGGAAAGGTTTCTGTAGATTTGAAACCTCACCGTCGATTTGTAACAATTGAAATTACTCTAAGTAAATCGATCGCGATTGTCGATAGCAATAGCTTCTCCTTTTGCGATGAGAAATATTTTGGCAGATACCTAAATAAAACATAACCTCCCCTATTTTTGCGAACATCACAAAAATAACGAGTTCAACCTCTCCTGACTCACATTCCATTTAGATGGGATGAAACTATCTTTTTTTTTCCTCTTTCATATCCGACCGATCAGACGCTTCAAAGCGAAAAATGTTTCCATAGTAACAATGAAATCTCAGACGACGACTTAAAGGAATCTCGAATGGAAACATATTTCTTTCTTTTTACACGAAATCTTCGAAATGTATCGTTGCCATCAATTTTCCTTTGTTGAAAAAGACAACAAAATAAGATCTTTTAATTTTTTTTCCTCTTCTGCTGTCTGTATTAGAACATTTAATAAATTCTACGGACAATACAAAAGCAAACTCTAAGTGTTTCCTGAATGTTCTACCATAAAATATTACAAAACGACTGTTCTTTTACTCTATATCATGAAAAGATCTAACGATTCATTCGAGTAAAAAAACGTGAGCAGAAGATATTTATATTAGAAATTGTCATTAAATTAAATAAAAGAAATATTACAAATGAACGTCAAATATTAAATTTTTAGTTTCAAATACGATAGCCAGCGGTTGCAATAAAAATTTGGTGAAAAAAACAGGTAAAAAACAAGCGAAAACAGGTTAAAAACAAGTGATCTTTCATACAGGTGAAAGAGATGAACAGTAATGACGCATCAGAAATTGTAAAAATATAAACTTCTGGAATAAGAAATTGCGTTTCAAAGTTTACGGTATTTATAGCCCTCCAAGCAACAGCAATTTTAACCTAGATACGTTGACCTAATTCA